TTCATGAGTTTTCCAATATAAGAGCCAAACGGTTAATGTTTCTGCATTACTCACACAAAAAAAAAATCAAAGAGAAAACATTATCCACCCCAAATTTGGAAAATATGAGTAGCCAGAGGCTTGAGCACATGGAAAGAAAACCAAGTGAAAGTAAATATTAAGGCAATGTAAGATGTTTCTTCTCATTTGTGCTTGAATTCTTCTTTTACTGCTTTTTCCTTAAAAGATGGCTTTATTTCTCCCCCCTTTAAATCCATGGATTGAAAAGATACAATTTGTAATGGAAAGGAACATCTAAAGGAAAAATACACTTTAAGTATGGTGTCAGTGGCATTCCTAATGTTCTGGTAGAGGTAGTGTCATTTTACCCCAGAGGAAACCACAGTTGTTTTAGAAAGAATGGTTCTATCACATCAATAGTTTCTAAAAGTAAGTATTTCTGGGTGAACATTCATTTTGAGATTCTCTTGCCTATACTTCATCATCTGACTTCCTGTGTTATTGTTATAGGAAAATAAGAGTCTCTTTGTAGCTTTAAACCAAATTTGGATAGAGATGTTCAGAACTTCTCCTGGAAGGGTCAATATCTAGTAAGAGCTTAGTGCTTGACAGTGTTTTGGCAGAACTTTAGCCATCTGTGTAGAGAATTTTAAAATGTTTGTCCACTGGGAATATGTGGTCAAATCAGGATTTTGGCCCCAATTAAAGAATCATTCTATCACATCATTTCATATCACCACTATATTACAAACTCTCCTTCCATCAAGTCCATTCCAACCCATAACAACTCTGTAGGACAAGGTAAAAACCGCCCATAAGTCAAACTGAAGCTGTAAGGTTGTAAGTCTCTCCTAAAGCAGACTGGCTTATCTGTCAAATTCTTTAACACCGAGCAACCACTGTGCCTATATCACAACAATACATGCTTATAATCTAGTTGATGAATTAGTAAAACTCCTCCTATAATTCATTCCTCCTATATAATTCATTAATTTGTAGTGTACTTTTCACTCTTGACTTGCATAATAATTAAGAAATCTAAACTAGTCTCAACTAGACTTTTAAATCATTAGTCATTTATTTACAATGACAAGATTTAGTGTTCCCATAGCTGAAAAAAGAGGTGCGAGATGCAAAATTACAGCAGTCTCTAAATAGTAAGACAAGAGGAAGAACAAAAATAGTGTTTTTAACTAGAGAGAGAGTGAATATAGGCAGAAAATAATGTCTTTTTATTTGTAATTCCCTTAAGAAGTTGCTACAGTTAGATTTCCATAAAGCAAAGTGGCGTACAAAAGTTTGTCTTTCTGTTTCTGGCTGCTAAATTCACTTTTTTTTTGGACCTGCCTTCTTGTTGTTAGGCGTTGTCGAGTATGACTCAAAGCGACCCTGTGATCAAAAGATCTGAACCCTATTCTATCATGTATCATCCACATGATCTCTGACACACTTGACCCCATTGCTGCAGTCACTGTGTCAGCCAATCTCATTAGGGGGTCTTCCTCTTTTTGCAGACCCTCCATATTGCCAAGCATGACGTCCCTTTCCAAGGAACAGCTTCTCCTGGCAACATGCTTAAAATACATAGACAAAGCTTTGCCATCTTTGTCTCCAAGAAGTACTCTGCTGCCCTTTTCCCAAGACACATCTGTATGTTCTTTTGGTAGTCCATCGGACATTCAGTACTCTTCTCCAACACCACAGCTCAAAGGCATCGATTTTTTTTCTGTCAACTTCATTTATCGCCTAGCTTTGAGAGGCTTAGCAAGTGATTGAAAAGACCCTGGCCTGAATCAGGATACCTTAGTCTTCAAACTGACATTATTACTCTTCAGTATTTTGGAGAGGTCTTTGAAAGCTGACTAGCCAATGCAATATGCCCCCTGATCTCTTTCCTGACTCCTGGTACCAAGGATGCTGTGTCGTTGTTGTTGTAACAACAACAGGAAATCATTGACAACTTCAATTCTTTCTTCATTTATCATAATGTTGTGTATTGGACCAGTGGTGAGAACCTTTGTTTTCTCGATGTTGAGATGGAATCCATTCTGAAGTATATACTTGGGAGCTCTGGTAGCCTAGTGGCAAGAAGTTGCACTGCAATTCCAAAGGCATGCAGTTCAAGGCCGCCAACTGCTCTGTGAGAGAATGATAGGCAATCTCCTCCTGTGTGAGCCTCTTAACATCCACAGGAGGGTCAGCTATGGTTCGGTTCTGACTCGATGGTACACAACAACAATACATGTATATAAAAATTTCTAGTCTAACATATTCTTCATGAACACAGATGAAATACACACTTACTTTGTTTTGATCCTTGGAGGGGGAAGAAAAGTCTTTTTAATGCCTGCTATCACTAAAGAAGGGAGCGCTGGTAGTCAGTGGGTAAAGAGTTGTGTTGCTGACTCAAAGGTAAGTCATTTGAATCCATCAGCTGCTCCAAGGGAAAAAGATGAGAAATCTCTTCCCATGCGATCTATTGCCTCTGAACACTCAAGATGGGCAATCTCCTCCTGTGTGAGCCTCTGAAAATCTGCCGGAAGGTCAGCTATGAGTCATTTTCACTGGGCTGCAATGAATAACAACTTCTTAAAAGATGAGCCATGGTGGTCACTCAGAGTCGTACTTGTTGGCACCTAACAATGACACCATCATAGGTGTTGCTGTGGATCCAAGCAAAATTCAAGAAATCTTTAACAACTTCAGCCTTTTCTTTATCATGTTCTATTGTTCTATAGGCCCAGTGGTGAGAGTTTTTGTTTTCTTGATGTTGAGATGTAATCTATATTGAAGTCTTTGCTCTTCCGTAGCAAGTATTTCAAGTCCTCTTCACTCTTTGCAAGCAAAGCTATGCCATCTGCATAATGCAGGTTTGCCAACAAGAATTCCTCCAATCCTGATGCCACCTTCTTCATTAAGGCCAGCTTCTAATATTATTTGCTCCATCATACAGATTAAACACAGAGAAATTATACACACCTTCTCTGATTTTAAAAAAGGCAATCTTCCCTTATTCTCTTCAAACAACTGCCTCTTTAGGTTTTATATTACCTATTGCTTTTACATATAATGTAACTGAAACCCACTACGGATGTCTATATGAATTAACATATAACTCATGGCTAGATAACAGTATGCTAATATGGCAACCAGTGAAAAGCAAAATCTAGTGTCAAGTGGAAATATCTATGTAGCGCACATTTGCTGACCTCAATATGCATTACTATTTTTCATGACAAACTTTTAATCTGGCTTCCAAATGCAAAAGGTAATTGAGCTTTATTTAGTAACTTTCAAGATCGTGTTAGTAAATAAGCAATTCTGATGCCACTGTACCTGGTTAATTCAAATCAGGCTCCTCCATACTAGGCCATATCTCAGTGTAAGAATTTGGATAGTCCTTATATGTCTAGTGGTTTAGTGATAAGAACTGCTTTCCCAGCCCAAAGGTAGATAGTTTGAATCTGGGAGAAAGATGAGCAGTCTGCTCCTGTGTGATTTGCAGTCTCTGAAAACCTACCTTGAGTGTCAGCTATGGGTCAATTCTGACTTGACAGTATTTAATAATAATAATAATACACAGCTGTTTGGTCCACAGGGCACTCACTTCAGGTCAATAAATCCCACACTAAGAATCATCTTCCTCATTTTCATAATAAAAATCTTTGACTTTTTAATGAGGCAAGAAACCAAAATACAAGTCTAACTAAAACTATCTTTCTGACTCCTTACCTGGAGCTCAGATCTATGACCCTCCACAAGATAGACTGACTCAGTGACTAACAAAGGGCTCAAGCTTATCAGAGATCTTCTGGGATGATGGGAGATGGCAAGGTTTCTATCAAGGATAGGGCAGGGTTCTGATCGGTTGTTCACAGGGTCTCTAGGAGTTGAAGTCATCTCCACAGCACCAGGACCACCACTTTTATCTATTTGTAAATGCTTACTTTCAGATTGTAAAATTTCTCGCAGCTTCAATTCTTGCCCTTGATGCATTTACAATTATAAGTTTCCCTTAAAATTTTATTTGCATTTACTTATTTTTACTTAAATATACCTTCTGCAGAAACTGTCAAAGAGAATTCTATGATGCTACGGCGAAGAGTGCGGTGACGTGGCCCGTGGTTGGGTAACCTGGCAAAGAAAGGCACCGTTGTAACATTTCTGAGCAAAGAGACCGTGGGGCTTGCTGCCACGACGCCAAGTCTGCTTTTTTTTTTGAACTGAGAACTCAGCAGAGCTGGGCGGCAACCCTGCCCAGCGCTGCCCCCTGAGGGAAAGAGAGCGGGAGACTTGGATTACTGCATACAGAGGCAAGAAATGTGATGCTGAGCTGGGACCCAGCAACTGAAATCCCTTCTCAGCAGTGCCTCCCACAGTCAGCCACCCGGTCCCCTCAGAGACGATCCATCAGGAGTCCCCAGACCCTGGCTCGCCAGCCACCCAGGTCCTTTCTCTTCCCCCCCGCAGCTGCACACAGACGAGCACGTGAGCGCTGCAGCCTGTCTCAGTTGTGCCCAGATGACCGCCGCCTGATTGGCTGAGAGCGACGTGGGCTGGGGTGGGGCCTGGCCGTCTGAGCCGCTTGCCATTGGCTCCCAAGGCACCCACCTCCCCCTCAGGTGAGGCGGGCCTGCGTGAGCGCGCGGCGGGTTCGGCGGGCGGGCGCGCTCCCGAGCGCGCCTCCGCCCTTGTCCGCCCCCTGCCGCTGCTTCAGCGCCTCAGTGCACAGAGCCGTCTGGTCTGAGGGAACGCGAGGATCGCCTTCGCCCCTGCTTCGGCCAGTGCTTCGGGCCAGGCCCTGACAAGCAGCCCGCAGAGAGGCTCTTTTCCGGCGGGACCTTTGCAGTTACAGACTCCTCCCCCTTTCCCGTGGACTCCGGAGGGGATTCCCGCCTCCAGCCCTCGCCTCTGGACCAGCCTCTTGTCTCTCCGCGCGTGGAGGGAGCCAGCGCTTAGGCCGGAGCGAGCCTGGGGGCCGCCGGCCGCGAAAGCATCGCAGGGACCCATTCGCCATGGAGGGCGCCGGCGGCGAGAACGACAAGAAAAAGTAAGCCCCTTCCGTCGACTCCGTTCCCTCGCGGCGCTGCCGCCCGCCCGGGACTCGCGGGCCGGCCTCAGCTTTCGGGAGTTGGGGGTGGGGGGGCGCGGCCTTTTTGTTTCTGCCTCTGCTCCCCCTCCCCTCTTCCCCCCAACCTCGGCGGCCGGCTCCCCCGCCGTCCACGTCGCCATCTTGTCGTGGGGGGTGGGAGATCCGTGGAAAGTGCTTTGGGAGCCGGGGTGTGAGCGCGGCGCGCGCCGCCTCCCCGCTTCGCGCCCCGGCCTGGCGTCGCCCTCGCCAGCCGCCCGGAGCTCCCCGCCTGCGCGGAGTCCTTCCCGGGAGGGGGCCGTGAAGCTCCGAGCAGGGGCGTGCTCCGCGAGCTTCCGCTCCTGCCCCCCGCCCCGCGTCCTCTCGGGCCCGCGGCAGAGCCTGCGCTCGCCCCCTCGCCGGCGCTGGCGGCCCGGGGGGCGCGGCCGGGACTGCGCGGCTCGGCCTGGGCTCCTGCCCCGCTCCTCCGCGTGGGCTCCGGCTCCTCGCTCGCCGGCCGCGCCGCCGTCTGCCTGTCCCTTTGTGCTTTTCCACATCGGCCGCCACGGCCTTCGGAGCCCAACTTTTCTCTTTTTCTTTCTTTCTCTTTTGCACGTGCAGGTTTTGTTTTAATCACCTGGAGATACAAACCCCCCCTAACCCCAAACTTGCCTAGGCTGGGAGGGTTGGAGCCATGCGAATTGAGGGAAATAGGACCAATTTTAAGAGAGCATCCAAATTCAGTATTGTGTGCGTGTCACTTGTCACGAGAGCTCGGTGTTCTAAAATGAATAGAACCTTCATTCATTCTTTGAAAATACACTAGGGGAAAACACTGTAGAGCCTGGTTAAAAATTTTTTGAGCCGTTTTTTCAGGGATTGAAAAGAAAAGTGTGATCAGAGCAAATGGAACGCGGCAGCGAAATGTTGCATGTTTTTCAGAGGGCTGAAATGGAAGGCTGTGGAAAAAGATCCTTCCAAGGCACTTTAACGCAATAGCCATTCCTTTAGAACTTGTTGCAGCTTTATGAAACACCACTGCAAGTTTGAGCCCAAGGGACACATGACCGAAGAATTACAAATTGTGGAGTGAATCAAGAATGAAGTAGCACCCTACTCCAAAATCTGTTTTGGTCCTCTTTGGTATTTTAACCTTTGAAGAAATCATTTTCAGGAATCGAAGAAAGGAAAGAGTTATGATTAATAGCCTGGATAGACTGTTGTCTTTGCCCTGCTCTGGGAGAGATTAATTTCTCTAATCAGTATCAACAGAAGATAACCTTGTGTGTATTCTTATTTTGGAGATCTCCTAACTTAATGTTACTTAAATAGAAATGTTACCTTCTCAGGTTTCATGCATTAGAGAATGCAACCATACAATTAAAAGCGTGGGCAAACAGAACAAGTTTACACTTAATTCCAAGAGTTGCCGGAAATTAATTGCAATTAATTTTGCAGAAGTGATTACAGTGCTTTTGATAAAATGATGAGACTGCTGTATTGTAAACTAAAGCCGATTACCTCTGGATAGTGCCAACTTTCTGTCCTTATTAGATGCTGATTCATATTTAATAAAATATTTCGTTAAGCACCAGTCAGTTCCTTTTTATGTGTGTTTTGGTTTTTGGTGTTTTTTTGGTGCTGTTTTCTTTGCAGTTGAGAAGATTGCGAGCAACCTTAATATGAATAAATTAATTAATTCTTGTGCATCACCTCCAATTCCAAAAGATCTTGGATTTGCATCTTTTCCTGTATGCTTTTTTAAATTATCATTTTGAACCCTAGATAGTTCAATCAAATTTGACAACCTTGGATCAGATTGAGTCATAATTCTCAGTATCACCATTAAGAATGGCTTCTGAGTCATTTTTGTTATGGTGGTTAGTTACAGTGGAGTTTATTCTGATTCTTGTTGACCCCATGTGTGCAAAGTTAGCAGCTGGAGAGTTGAAGGCTGTGACCTTTCAGAAACAGATCACTTACTATCTTTTGAGACATCTCTTGGTAGGATCAAACCTTTATACACTCACTACAGGCTTCCTTTTAGTTGTCTGTAAAAGGTACCTTTTAAAATCCTTTTCTAACCATTCTCAAACTTAAGCAGAAATACAAGTTAGGGATTGAGGGGCAAGAATTTCTGATATGTGAACTGAAAGTGAGATAAGGGGAGCAGTACAAGACTCTGTGCAAGTTTTCCATCTTAAATTAGCATGCAGAGTTGATGTAAGAAAAATTTCCCTTTTTTAGACAGTAGATGTAAGGATGTAAAAAGGTTGAGGGATTTGAAGAAATGGGAATGGAATGGGTATGTTATGTGATGGTTTTAAGATAGAGTATTTTATGTTCATTCCTTAGTTATAAGAACTGTGTTTCTTTCATAGCATATGCGTATAGAATTTAGAAACGGATAGGAAGAAGTTCATTGTTCTGCCAGATCCCTTCAAAGTTTTCCAAAACAAACAAACAGTTGTTGGATCATTAAAGTAGAATCTCTTGAGAGTGAACATTCCTTCACTTCCTTCTATAACTTTGTTCCTTTAAAAAGTGAAGAAACTTTTCACTTATTAGGAAACATCTTTCTTGTTACAATATTACTTAGACTTCCTTTCTAAAGAGGCAGAATGACCTGGGTGGTTTAAAACCTGGCATTAGACTCCTAGCTTTTTAACTTGTTACTTTGTAAACTTGGGTGAGTAACTGAACCCTTGTGAGCTAATTTCCACCTTTTGAAATGATGGTAATAATAGGAACTTTCTTGAGGTTGTTGTGAAATGAAGATTAGCTCTGATAATACATATAAGTTGCTTATCCCAGTGTTTAACATATGGGGCCTTGGTAACATTTTGTATACGGTGCAAATAAATGTACGTTTTAGTTTAAACTTCCACTTTTTTTGCAAGTTCTGTCTATGTTTTAGTGCTTCTCTCTGTCTTCATACATCTTCTCTTAAAAGTTTAGGGACTGACATTAGATCAAGAATGTTAAAGGGATTTGATTATTAAAACAGTAGTACATCACTGAGTTATGTTGGTATCTTATCAATTATTCTTAATAAGCAAATGTTTATTAAGACTCTTAGGCCCCCTTCATAATTCCTTACTCTTGAGTTTGCTCCTCAAATAGGCTACTTTGAATTTATTCTGGAGTCTTAGAGACTAATAATAAGGGTATACACTAACTGTGTGTGTATGTGACTTCATTTCACCAGGGTATATGCGAGGTGCATAGGATTGATGATATCATAAAACTTTTTCTCATGATGAGAATTACAGAGTAAGTAGTTTTCTAAATATTTTGTAAGTATTAATAGTCTTTGTTTAAAATGGGACCAAATAAAACGTACCAGCTTACATATACTAGAAAAACTGTCCTTTGCATGTTGATTTCTCCATAGTTAGGACCACTGGGTTCTATTTCAAGGCAAGTTTTGAAGCGTGTACTATTACTGCAAATTTTGTGGTATAATTTGTAGGAAATCTATGTTAATGCATTCATGTTCACTAACTTATTGGGTCCTTTAGGCCGATAAAGTTTATAAAGTGATAAAGTTGTATCTTACTATAAAATACCTTGGACAATTTGAAGTCACCAAATCTTTTTACCTGTTAACTTCTATTGTCTGAATCTAATAGTATCTGGACTCTAATTTTGTGCTGACAGTCTATTGTATGTTAATGGTGTGTAGGAGGTTAAGGAGATAAGCTTCTTGACTGATTTTTAAGAACTCACTGCCATGTATTGGGTTTAGTGGTTAAATGTATTGTTATCCTGTGTGTTGAAGATTTGAGTTATATATTAGTGCTAATCATGGACTCTTTTCTAGGCAAATCCAATTTATCACTATAAAAGATAAGGCACATAGAGCTCTTAAACATTTATTCAAATGGAACAAAATATGCTTGAGTGATTGAAAAATGAATATGCTTTGTAAACATTTACTTAAGTCACAGTAAATAAAGCTTTTCTTCAAACTCATAACTTATATATCAATTATAGAAAATACCAAAAAGTATAAAGGAAAAAATTCTCACATTCAGAGAGAACTCTTAGCATTAATACATTTTCTTCTATATACTTTTTATATGTATTATGTGGATGTATGTTTACTAACAGAAATAGTTTTGTTTGATCTACTCTACTCTTTTAATAGTATTCTTTACATGTCTTTTACTGTATTTTAATTACATGTTATTCCGTTAGATAACTTTTAGTTATTAAAGCACTGGAGCTTTGAATCCCAATTCTGCCACTTATCTCAACTGGTACAGAATTTTCTTCCTGTACCTTAGTTTTCTTGTCTATAACTGCCTAATACGGTGGTGGTGGTGGTGGCGGTGGCAGTTGCAGTTGCCATCAGATCAGAGCTGACTCATAGCTGACCCTCCAGCAGATTTTCAGAGACAGTAAGTAGAATGGGAGGAGATTTGCCTTTCTTCCGTCTACCGAGCAGCTGGTGGATTCAAACCACCTGCCTTTGGTTTGGCCTTGCAGCTCTTTAACACTAACTAGGCTACCAGAGCACTGTTAACTGCCTAATGTTTTTGAGTACTGTTGAGTTGGAGCTGAACCTCTAGCTGGTTTTCAGACAGTAAATCTCTTGGGAGGAACAACTGGTATGTTCAATCTGAGCAGTTCCTTACCTCTAGACCACTGTAAAATGCATAGGGCAATATTTGGCGAATAATAAATAGTACATATAAGTGTTTGCTATTAAATAAGATTACCATCGCATTTCTAAGCACTGGTGACCTAGTTAGCAAAAAGTTGCTCTGCAATAACGAAGGCATGTGGTTCGAATCGCACCAGCCACTCTGTGGGAGAAGGATGGGCAGTCTCCTCCTTTGTGATTAATTGCCTCTGAAAACCCTCTAGAAGGTCAGCTATGAGTCGGTTCTGACTCTGCGGTACACAACAACAACCCAACATCACCTTCCGCAATTATGTTTTTAAAATTTTTCTTAATGTAAACAAATATGAAGAAA